AGAAATATATATTGTTGACCGCAATTTAAACGCATCAATTTTTGTTTAAAAAAACAAATAACTGTAGCCCGAATATCTTTTTTAACCCATTCAAGGAGGTTTATAATCACGCGCGTAAACCTTATCTCTGGATACTGAGCATTTTTTTGTTTTCGATTTATTTCTCTGAATGCATACAATAGGTCTGAAGGGTTCCACCAGAAAGTTCTTGACATGCTTGATAACCTTGGTAGCGCATTTTCATTTATTAGTTGAAGCCAAAATGAATCCAATATTCAGTATCAAATGTAGACCGCACACTCAACATGAATTTTATTTATTATTGAATTTCAACTAACATAACATAGACAGAACGACTTAAAACACCGTCTGAACGAAAATAGACCAACTCAAGGAGAAATAGACCTGTATCACTTCGATTTAACGTGCTCAATCCAGAGTTGAACCAACTTTAGCACAATTTGATGTCCACTTCAATTTCCACCCCATTAAGTTAAGCGGTATTTTGGCTTGACTTTAAACAAATTGAAGTTGTTATTTTCTACGGATCGTAAAAAATGCAAGCTTTACTTGAAAACGTGTCAAAAAATAACAAAAACGACACAACTTATAATCAACGCGACGATTCAAAACTTGTGACTAAATTCACAACTTGTGAACAAGAAAGTAAAAACGTTTAATAAAAGTCAAAACTTGTGAACAAACTATTAACCACAGCAAGATTTTCAACGAGAAACAAATAAAACTGAAATTAAAATATTTTTGAAGGACAAGTAAATCTAGTAAATTACGTAATCAAACTGCGATACCTTTAAATGATTCCATACAAAGGCGACGCAGGACTTTAAGCGAACTAGACATTCAGATTTCAACGACAAAATATAATATGATAATGAAGTAAATGACACCCTTACAATGTAACAATTTAACGGCTAGTCATATGCAAATTTATTACCTAGTAACGAATGAATTTCCCCACATGGCTCATTTCCTTCCGCCCCACCCCTACCTCACATCAGCATCAATTATATGGTGTAATGAGGGTTTTAACAGGGTTTTTATGAAGACCAAATATGTTTGTCATGGCCTCATTAGTTAGCATGTCAATTTGCATAACAATCGGTTGGTGGAAACCGTAAATTTACTTGTAAAAACTTGCAAGCGGGGGGAGCCCCCCCACCTTTGCAAAGTAGTGATAGCTAAAGAGATCCTTATTTTTTCAAACTTTGAATAAATCAATTCGCTAAATAACTTCAAAAATTAAACATAAGCTACTAAAGGTGAAACAAATTGCTGATATTTCCGAGAATCATATTTTTTTTTGTAAAAACATTTGCGAATAGACGATACTGCAGAAGAAATTCATGCAACCTGTATTTTCGATTGAGCCCAAAACTCAGATTTGGGAGGGTACTTTTCGAGAAAAGTACTTTTTAAAACATGGGCAAAACTCAATTTTTTTGTTCTTTTCCGAGGGCCATAAATTTCTGTTTTAAAAAATTGGGCACAGTCGATTATGCAAAGGAGCTTCTGATAACCTATTCTTTGGATTGAATTCAAGATCTCAGATATGGAAGGGTAGTTTTCAAGGACATGAATGTTATCCGCATGTTATCAAAAAATCACAAAAAACGTCACATCTCGAAAACTACAAAGATTTGAGCAATCATATTCAGAGGCAAGATTCGGAATCCTTGATAGTACTCTTACAGCCCCCAACTACAAGGTTGCGAATTTCAAATTTTGAAAAATAATTAAAATTTTCTGAAAATTTTTGAAAAAAGCACAAAAAACGTCATATCTCGAAAACTACAAGGATTTGAACAGTAATATTTGGAGGCAAGATTTGCAACACCTTAGAGTGCCCTGACAGCACCCAACCACAGGGTTGGGAATTTCAAGTTTTGAAAATTAATAAATTTAGGTTTTCTGAAATTTTTGAAAAAATCACAAAAAACGTCACATCTCGAAAACTACAAAGATTTGAGCAATCATATTTAGAGGCAAGATTCGCAATCCTTAATAGTACTGACAGTACCCAACTACAGGGTTGTGAACTTCAAGTTTTTTAAATCATTTTGTAATTTTAGTTTTCTGAAAATTTTTGAAAAAATCACCAAAATCGTATTTTTTCGTTTGCTAAAAAAAATTTGGCCATTCAAAATAGGTGAATACGGACAGCATACCAACATTGGGCTGCTTAATTTAAACTCGGTGAATAAAACACTAAAATCAAACTCGAAAATCGAAAAAAAATCTAAACCATTGCAATATACGATATAGCTTAAACATGCAAAAATAATACGTTGAAAAAGCTTAAACATGGCGAGATAGTGAAGCCCGCATTTAAATATATAATAGATTATACAAAAATACCTTCTTAGACAGTACAAAAAAATAGCAAACAGACAGGCGGATAACTAGCATTGCACTCAAATAAACCAAAAAAAAAGCAAAGAAAAACCTAACTATTAAGTGAAAGTTTTGAAAGCAAACCAACCGCGTTTTGTTTGTAATTAGAGATTTACTTTGCTTTTTCCAATAAGCAAATGATTTTCACTAGAGCCCAAAGAAAAATAAGGATATGGGATTGCTTTTTCCGACCACACTCATTAAAAACGTAGCAAAAAGACAGTTGGAAAAGAGCCAATGAACGCAATTAAACAGTAGAAAAAACTTGAATGCCCTTGAAGCACGATCTCTGATTGGGGCTGTTTTCAATAAAATTAAACCAATTCGAGACCAAAGGGTAAGTTTTTTTATTTCGCTGGGAAATCTGAAAAGTAATTCCATTTTCGAAACTAGAAGTCAATCACTTTTTTTGTGGCTTTTTAGCTTTCGCTATTCGATAGTTGAGTTTGCTTGTCTGTTTAAAAGGAAATGAACTGAACTTAAAAAGAAATCAAAAACCGCGAAACCGTGAATTTGAGCCTGAACCAACTTTAAAACTTTTCTGAAAAAAAAACGAACAAAAATCATCATGACCAATAAAAGAGTTTAAACTACTTTCATCAACTCTTAAAAAATATGGCAAAAATTTGAAAAAAAAATAGGAAACTTTCATTTTTGTCAAGCAATTTCCTGTTAATTAGTATTCTAGAAAAGGGCACTTACCTCATTTAAGAAAACGTACGGATAAAACAATCGGATAAATAACCCACAGCATACATTATTTTAATTCTATTGTGCAACTGAATTTCGACATCATCCTCTTATTCTGTCAGCTTTTATCTAATTAGGTCCAGGAAACGAAATAATTGATGCTGAGATAAATTGTTCGACATTTTGGAATTCAAATCACAACAGGAAAGGATTCAAAGGATAGGACATATGGACCCTGGTGAGCTTTCTTTGAGGTAGTAAAAACTGCGGGTAGTCAAAACAATCAACAGTCAACCGCATTAAAAAAAGTTGAGCGTGAATAAATTTTTGACAGTTTTCGGTGAACAGCCAAAATTTCAAACCTTAAACAAAATCACAAAGTTTTTCCTGAATACACCACATACATAAATACGAACCCGTTTTGTCCATAAACACTTTTGAAAATTTTTAACAATACTTGATATTATTTTACACAAATTTTCGACCAAAACCTTTCATTTAAAAGCCCAGGAAAAAAAATTTCTGAAAAAAACAGAAGTTGACAAAACTTTCAAATCTCCTTTTGCTTTTAAGCGAGCAACAATTTACCTCGCCATATCTAGTTTTGAGAGCGAACTTAGACTTCTGAACAACAAATATGGAACCCCGACTCAGTATTAAGAGTTACACATCCTCGCACTTGCACAATGTTCACTTGAAAATCGGAAAAAACTACCCACAAAAAACAGATGCTATTGAACTGCCAATGCTATTTAGCTAGTTCCACCAAAGCAGCACTTTCAAAAAAAATGTTTTAAAAAAGTTGCACCGTATTGTGATACAAGGGTCGCTTGCATAATCAAGCGGTAAATAAGTAGACAATACTTGGGTACACAACCGTTCAGCCGAAAGTTTTTTCTGAGCTCTAAGTTTTACACCCCACCCCCGGAGCACGAAAAAATTTAACGAGTTATGAGGCCAAATACAACAGCAGAAACCATTTAACCCGAAAATCTTGAATGAACTTAACCAATAGACAATTGGAAAAATCAAAGAGCACAAGGAAACAGAAAAAATGACTTGTTTTTTGAAAAACTTCAACTAAAAAAAACTATAAGTCGTTAAAGCTTTTTGAATTTCAAAAACTATATATGATCGACACTTCTTTGATAAAACTAACCTAATTTGAAGAAAAAAAACTGGATCAATCGGTACTTTTTGTATTCCGCTCGGAAATCTGAAAATTAATATCTAATTTCGAAACTAACAACAATCTATCAAGTTTTTTGTTACCTGTACACTTTTGCTGTTCGATAATGGAGTTTGCATTCCATTGACAAATAGAAATGACGTGAACTCAAAAAGAAATCAAAACTCGGACCCCTGAAAATCTAATTTAAGCGTGAACAAATTTTCAGACTTTTTCGTGAAAGAAAAAGCAATAAAATCACCAAGACACATATATGAGTATTGACTACATTCATGAATTTTAATAAGCTAAAAAATCAAGTAGCGGTTTACATCCAACAACAAAAAAAAATCATATCGAATGGCGATTTAAAATGCAGACATGCTCAAAAAAATCTGTTGGCCAAAAATTTCATCATGACAGATATGCTGCTGCCCCAAATGAACTGCTTCCGTAAAGTGAAAATCTATATGATTTGATAACGCTTGCTAATTACAAGCACAATAAACTTTGATATTTTTTTCAGAAATAAAAAAACAAATCGCGACAACGCGACGCGAGAGAACAGATGCTATGCAATTTCCAATGCTTAAGTGAAATTTCCAAATAAGTGAACACTTTTATTTGCGATTTAGATTAGAAAAAAAGAAGGTTCGTAACAATACACTAAGGCTAGTGCAATTACAATTCAAGGTAACAAGCATTGAATAACTGTTCATCGATTTTTAACCTGTTGTCAGCTTTGTTGAGAATGTTTTGTTTTTCCACCGGCAGATGATGCAGTATTGTGTCCAGTTTCTCCTGAGCTCGACTGTAATTCTTCAGGTAGCTAGTGTACAGTGGAACCATCATCTTGATCCGTTCTGGACGTCGACATTGGTTTCCAAAGGCTACTATGTCTCCCTGTGCTGCTATTAGGTCACTGAGGAAACTCAAATGCACGGCAGCTAGGTCGGATATTTTAGTGTCATCTAAGATCTCAGGGACCAAATCACCGTATCCAATTTCAGACATCGAGTTCCTAATCGAAAAGAATTGAATTAGTTACGAAGAGCTTTGAAACTGGTCTGAAAAGAAAAGGTTCCCTGAAGCTTTGATTGCATCCCAGAGCACCAAGCAGGTAGCATGAAAATACGTTGATATATGGAATCGTGCAGCAAAGGGATCTTTTCGGTTATCATTGTTTGTTTAGAAAATGACGAAACAAATAGAAATAGCGCAAACTATTTGAGGCTACCTTAGATCAAATTGCTTCAATTTGACCTCCCTAAAACTGAAAGTAGGCATGTGTAAACAGTATTGACCCAGATTAACAATAAAATTGTACCTTTCACTTTTCATCATTTGGGAGGGGGCATAACCAAAAAGACCCCAACAAAGTACACCTTAAGCTATTTCTCATTGAATAAGTAATCGGTTCAAAAACACAGAGTTCTGGAAATTTGAAACTTCAAACCCCTGCCATACCGCGCATTCAACGTAGGAAAAGCATCATGCACATCAAACTTCAATTTTCTTTTGTCTCATTTCAAGCAAACTCTACTTTTGGACAAAGCAAAAATGACATAATTCCCCCCAAGATGGCAATAAAACGAAAAATTTTCCCCAATCCTGCTGGTCGATGAAACTGTACAATCAACAACCTTTTGAAGAAGAAAATTCGTGATCCGAATACTGAACAAAGCTATTGTTGATTGACAATTTTTGGACCTCTGTGTGAATCTCTTTTATTCTGCCCAAAATTAATCTTTCATCATGAACTAAAACTGTTTCGATCGAATCAGCTCAAAAAAATCGGTGTTGACAATTTCAAGTAAATTTACAAATGATACAAATTGACAAAAAATAATGATTTGTTAAAATATTTACATTTACTTCAAATAAGCTGCAGAGTTTTAACCGGACCACAAAATTAGCCCTAAAACAGTCTCAAACGAAAACGCTTGACTATCTTAAAGAGTTTTAACCGGACCAAAAAATTAGCCCTAAAACAGTCTCAAAAGAAAACGCTTGACTATCTTAAAGAGTTTTAACCGGACCACAAAATTAGCCCTAAAACAGTCTCAAAAGAAAATGCTTGACTATCTTAAAGAATTTTAACCGGACCAAAAAATTAGCCCTAAAACAGTCTCAAAAGAAAACGCTTGACTATCTTAAAGAGTTTTAACCGGACCAAAAAATTAGCCCTAAAACAGTCTCAAAAGAAAACGCTTGACTATCTCCCTCCCATCTGCGTATCCTTAATGAAATTCGACGAGACAAAAAGTGAACGCAATTTTATTAACATTCACCAACCAAGCGCGATCAGTTTTGTATCTGTTCTTTTTATACTTCAAAATTGTAAAAATTACAAAATCAGAGGGAAAAAAAGAACCCAAAATTATAAACTAATCCGGATAGCCGGTTGCTATGCACTTAGCACAATGTTCCGACCATATTTATAAAAAAAAACTACAAACTTTTTTCTTTTTTCAAATCGTTGTTAGCATGCGGTGTAATGAGAAAACTATGCAACCGTGTAAAAAGTTAGAGAACTTAAAAATATTTTTGAAAGATTTTTTTTGTATAAGTAGCGCTAAATTAAGCCATATTTTTTACTAGGAAGTGCTTAATAGTTTCGGTCTTAGTAAAATTAAGTATCGCAGCCTATAAATTTCAGTTAACGAACGTTACTTGGTCGTTTTATTCGCTCAAAGTTAAGACTGAAACTCAAACCGGTTATCTCGACACTGGGAGAACTTTAATATGATTTATCACTCGAATCATTCCAATGCTAAGTGTGGCACCTGATTTTGCGAACTAGCAAATTAGTGCCAGCAGAAATCATTGTAACAAAAACATGAGTAATCTGAGATCTTTTGATTGCAAGTAAAAACGAACTTTGAAAAAGCGTCCATGAACGCAAAGAAACACTAAAAAACTGACTTGTTTAATGAAAAAAAAACTCTTTTCGAACCTCGAAAACAAAACTGATTTGTTTTATAAAAAAAACTTTCGAACCTCGGAGAAAACAATAAATGTCTCTTTAAATTTCTAGAACAACTTATGATTGATGCTTTTTTGATAAAATAACCCAATTTGAAAAAACTGGATCAACAGGTAATCTTTTTATTTCGCTCGGAGATCTATAAATTAAATTCCAATTCCGAAACTAGAAATCGATCACAATTTTTCCCGCCATTTCCACGTTTGTATTTAGAGATCGCAATTCCTCAGCCTCTTAGCAGATAAGCTTCAAATTCAAAAAGTGCAAATATGCCAAGTTCATACATAAATGCATGTTTTGAATGCACTACAGTAGTTATTAGAGCATTTTATAACTTTTCCTGCAAAAAAATTATCGTGAACTGTATAAGAGGCTGAACAACTTTCGTCGACTCTTAAAAGCCAATCCAGGTTTTTCGTCTATGGGACACTAAATCTGCATAGAAACGAGAACTGTACAGAGTCGATTGAATACCCAGAGTCGATTGAACAAAATGGGGAAAAAATCAGCGGCGAGAAGCTGCATAAAAAATTGATATCGATACCTTCAGAAATGATACTGTTCACATCTCGCAAAAAGTTCACAGAAACAGGACATACTTGCAACAGATATCCGAATTGTTACCAGCTGACAGATCAAGAGAATTCAGAAAATACTTCTACTAAAATAAATTCCTATTATTTCTGTTTAATAAATTAATATTTCTTATAATAGTCGTTTAAATTTATAAAGTTGATTTTTTGTAAATTTAACTTTTCATAGACACGTTTTTTATCCAAGTGGTTATATGGAGTAAACTTATTACACTGGGAACAATGTTTTAATAGCACAACTTTTTGAGATAATTTTCGAGTAAAAATTGTCAATTAACATTTGCAATGAGTAAATCAGTAAATAAATTTTAATAAGAGCTCTATTTATGACAAAATTCTCTAACTTTTCTTTTTAAGTCACTCGGACAATCACCTTAATTTGATAATGGAGTCCAAATCCGATTTTTCTTTCCTCTTAGTTAAACTTGCATCTTAACTCGTGTTGCTTTATACTGTTACATGGAATTCTAAAATAGCTTTTCTGAATGTCTGTGATAAATTATAATTAGATTGCGACACAATGCATTCATGAAAATACTTTTGATTTCGATAATGACTTGTTAAACTTTTCATGCTCGTTGTTTCATACTTTGAAATACTGACTGACTTTGAGCGAACATGTAACATGAATCCATTTAGTCAGACCGTGAGTCGCCCCTGAGCTGATTAAAGAAACAAATTTGACTAAGATCATGACTTACACTGAACAAATAGCTACTTCTGTCTAATTCAGTATTGTTGCGATCTTTTCTTTGGTTTATTTAGAATTCAATGAACAACCCAGAAAAAGATACTATTCGGTTTACTTTTCAGGTTTACCATTATTAATAAGTGGAAAGTTAGTAATAAACATATCAAAACACCATAAACCCTTTCAATGAATACTACTTCTGTTCACTAGAAGTTAACAAATAACCACCAGCGGTGCTTCAACATAGCAATGGACCCAAAAAAGGCACTAGGTTTATTTAACGCCGGCTGAAGAACTTCGTTATACCAGTTTTATTAGATCAGCTTTATAGCTTCATGCTATAAAATTGAAATTCATAAAGCTGATTGTCAACAAGGCTTAAAAGGCCTGTTTAATGGGCAAATGATATAGTTTTAAGTTGAACTTTATTGAAACCGGTCACATACTTTTTCATCAACGCTTAGAAAAAAAAATCTCAGTGAGAAAACAGACAAACTTATGATTATATTGGTAGCGAACACGCAACTCAAAAATTATGTTTCAGATTTATTTAGTAGAAATTAATATTTAAACATAGCCAGCAGACAGTTGAAAGTGTCTATATACTCAAGACCAGTGCCGGAATCAGAAGGGGAGGCAGGCATCCCCCCCCCCCCTCACGGGGATTCGACCCCCTGACTACCCAAAGAATTCCCCTTGTTTCTATCTTAAGATCTCCATGTTTGGCTGGCTGAACCAGAAGTTTTTTAAAAAGGCTCCAAAATATACTAACTTTGAGGGGGGCTGAAAAAGCATTTTTTGGTCAAATCTGTCCAAAAAGTGCCTGAAAAAAGGATTTTTGGCCAAAAGAGGATCTTTATAGTGCTTTGAGAGTTCGAAAAATCAACATTATCGATTTTTGTTTTGAAACCCCCCCCCCCTCGAGAAAATCTTAGATCCGCTCCTGCTCAAGACCGAAAAAAAATTTGATTTTAAATTAAACACGATATAGAAAACAATAATTTGAAGATACTGGGTTAATGGGTATTTTTTTATTCCGTTGGAAAATCTGTAAAGTTTACTTTCAAACAAAAAGTCAATCGCGTTTTACTGCGCCAAATTTAACACTTTAACAACTAACATTTAACACTTTCCCTACCTGTACACACTGTCTAGAAACTGCAGCTGGTTCGAATAGTTCTCTTCGGTGCTCTCGATTTCAGCTGTGATGTACTTGATCTTTATGTAAGTCTTGCGCAGCTTATCCTCCAGTTCGTCTACGAGTGATTCTTGTGTCGTATCATTCGGAAGGAGCGCAGATGGCTCCGGGTACTCTGAGTTCAGCACGTCGTACCCATCACTTCCAACACTACCACCACGAAAACTCTTCGACTGAAAAAATATGAACATAGAAAAACGAATCAATTGGTTTCTAACCTCACAAGAGAATGGCAGTACTAAAAATTAATGCCTAATTTTTCGCAATATCCCTTTCGGCTAACAAATCTGAACAAAATTTATTGACCGTAACTGCCCTTTTTGTCGACGGAAATATGTTTTTCATTCATTTTAGCCCATTAAAACCGTATCATAATTTCTAATTAACCTCAAAAGCACCGTTTTCTGAACGATTAGGTTTCTCAAGATCACCAATTATTGACAACAGTTTCTTGGCCGCGACTAATTTTTAAAAAATAGCACAGAACTGGATTGAAATTTTAACCAGAGAAGACACAACCAACCTGATTCATTACATGATAATACCAGTTTTGCAGTGTCTGTTTCCCCAAATGATAAGTTGGATTTTACTATCAGCCATAACTTCAAAGAGGACGATTTTTCGAATTGCACATGATAAGAATATTAAAAAGCATATTCTAATCAGAGAATGGCTTCTCTTCGTACATAACGACATTAAACAAATGAATTCCCTAACGGGGCGCCTTTGTCATTTTCCAGCCTCGCCATTAAATGAGTTACGCACCTCCACGCTGGTGTCGTTACTGTGAATGTCAATGATGTGCTGCTGAAGGTCTTTGTTGTCAAAATACTCGCTCTGCTCACAGAACTCTTCCATATTGTAGGGGTCATAAGTGTCAATTATTAGCGGCTTCAAGTCAATTTCCATCTCCTGTAGCCGTGCTTGAAACTGTTCAGAAGATGATATAGCACAAAAAGTGGAAATAAGTCTGCCAAATTCTCGCAATTTCTGCAAATCTTCGGTTTGCAGAATCTGCTTGGAGCTAATGCCTAGACAACGCTGACAGGTTGAGCGAAACAAGTCAATGTTTTCAGCAGTCAGGAGGTCAGAATTAGTGAGCTGCTCCGAAGTGTTAATGTGATGTCTGTCAATCCATTCACTATTAACCAGCTAAAGCAGGGAAATTAAATATTTTAGAAGGCTTAAATAATCGAGATCAAAAAAAGCTTCAGTATCAAAACTAGTCACATTTGGATACAGTCGTCTTGCTGTGAAAACTTTGGACTTCGAACGACTCGATCTTAAAGAAATTCCACTAGATTAAAACACTAGATTAGAAACATGTTTCTAAAGAACACATGGGTTGATTAATCGTGGGTGGATTAAAAAGAACGCACCAAATGAGAATTTGCTGGTGACCAACCATTATTAGCTTAGTGATCTTCAAATTTCAGACAAGAGTACTCGTGCAGTACTTAATTCTCAGTGAGTAGAAGAAAAAAATATGAAACTGAAAATTCTTCATTCAAAAACTGCGTTTTTAATTGCGTTTTACAAGGGGTTCCCACAGGTCTTCAATATTATCAAGGGGTCGCGCAACCTCGGATCAAACCTGATTATTATCATGCCAAAATGGAGCATAAAATATTACTGAAAAGTTTGGTAATTAAATGCAGACTGCAATAATCAATGTTTGTTACTCTTTTTTACAACTTTTGATTTGGAGGTCTTGTAAACTTTCAAACTTCGAAGACAGATAATTGAAAAAAAAAATTAAAATGAAAAAAAAAAACTTAAATAAATAATCAGAAAACATTTTAAGGAGACGTCTACAAAAATATGGAACAATTGCTTATATGCTTGTTCAGATGCTCCTTATTCTCTATATATAATTAAAGGCGATATTTAGATTGAAGTTAAAAATGCTGAGATATGTTCTTGTTTAAATTAGCAAAACTAATTAAGATTAGATGCATCTGAATATGGAGTAGTTTATTCCGAAAAATGTTACGATCTGCAAAAGAGGGCACTCATCATACCTAATTCGATGCTCTTCATTGGAAAGCTTAATTTTGTCATTCTTTTCCTTCGAGTTATGATTAGTCTGTAATTGTTATATGTTGCCTCTATTATAACTTTACTTTACACTGCTAGATAATTGTAGATTATTGAATATCTGCTGCTTATTGAACGCTGTTTTAATCGATAACAACACTCTTCGTTGACCACTGTTTTTTTCAAAACTTTGTGCACTAGATGGACTTGTAACACTAGCGTCTTATAATTTCTTCAAAACCCTTTAAAAAGATTTTATCAAGTAATGGACATAAATTGTGAATTAAGCATAAAAGTATCAGCATTATAAAAGCTTCGTAAAAATGGGCAAAATATTAGCCAAGGTTTCTGCTTTGAACTTGAGCTACCGACAGCAATTCAATTTTTGAGTGATTTGCTCTTCTACATAAAATGGCACCTCTGAGAACCGGAAAACTGATCTTAGGTCTCTCGGTTGTTTTATCGCTTATTTTTTTCCAGATTTTCTCATTGTTTCCGTAGCTACCGATGCTGCACTGCGTCGTTGATGATTAGACGAAGATTCATGACCTTCACATAGAAACTGTTTATCGAATGAATCTCGAGTTCCAAAGTCTATTGGCTGGAATGTCAAATGTAGCTTCACGATCAGTGCTAGTTGAACTGTCAATAAAACCGTGGCTTTGCAGCAGAAATAGGTTCGACTCGACTAAGTCGAGTCGAACCTATTTCTGCTGCAAAGCCACGGTTTTATTGACAGTTCAACTAGCACTGATCGTGAAGCTACATTTGACATTCCAGCCAATAGACTTTGGAACTCGAGTCGACTTAGTATCAAAACAGAGCTTATCTACCTGTTTTGACACTCTAACTCCTATTGTGGGGTTTGCAGACTTTGTAGGGTCATTGCCTTGTTTCCATTTACTGCTCAGATACATCTTGTCGCAAAATTGATGTGATCTGGTTGAAGTTTTTTATTTAGTTAAGAGAGGCACTAGTGTAAAATCACTTTTTAAACCATAATATTGATGCTCATGCGATGTGGAGGAAAAGGAAAAAGAGTCCATCTCACAGTATCAAGAGCAAGCCAAGCCGTACACGAGGACAGCATGAAAATTTCCTATCAAGCTGTAAATTTAAAAAAAAACAGCATTTTCTGGTCTAACCATAACTGAATATGTCTGTTCGAAAAGAAAACAATATCCAGTTTCAAATTGACGACTGTAAATTGCCGATAGTCATATTCTTCTCGGATACCGAAAGCGATGTCCCCGCGGTCTATGACAGAACCGTCATCACATACAGTGCCAGAGACGGCGTCATGCAGTGCCAGAGACGGCGTCATTTAAAACATTTACAACACAACAACCATTTATCATCATCCTAACTAATTCATAAATAAACAAAAAAATCGTCCTTCAGTTGAAACGCAACCAGTTTAAAATACGTATTAAAAAACCCTTTTTACTCTTTCTTTCGTTTTAGAGCGAGAGTCCCGATCTAAAGCGGCGACCCGATCTCTGCCAGCGGTTTGGCTAATCTTGGTCTCTCCTCCTCTACTCATATTCATCCGTGAGAAATTTGGCTAGGTATGTAATTAATTGACAAGAAAAACGATGTGTTGCCTCAAAGCTGCAAGGTCTACACTACATAGTGACCCCAGTCTGAACAGACATGGTTTGCACTTAGTTCGAGGATATTTATATCAATCTGTTGATGAGTTATTTCCGGTCTGATATACTTTGCTGTTACCGGTGTTTAACGAAGAACTCTCGCACAAGAATCCCATTGTAAATGTTTAGTCTCGGTTGCTATTTGGCGTACTTTTTGAGCTCCTATTTACTGTATGTGGGGTCAGGTGTCGAGTTATTTGAGATCCATTGTGGTAATATGCTCAGATAACAGCCCTGTTTCCGCTCAAATTTAATTTCAGCCAGTTTACCTTCATACTCTAGACGTGATTTTCACACTTTTGTTGTTCTATAGTGGAGTTTTCCTGCCTTTAGCAATGGAAATGAACTGAACTTTGAAATCATATATCAAACCGCGCGAAAAAGTAAATTAGACGAGTCTGAACAAAATTTTGAGCTTTTCCTGAAAAAACACATGGACACATGTATAAGAGTCTGAACTAGGTTAATCGAACTTTAATAACCAGAAACTTTTCAAGCCTGTAAAAATCTAAGTAAAACCCATGCTTGGGAAAGTAAGTTAATTAAACCGTACCAGGAAATATAAATGACATTTTAAAAAATGGTAAATTAACCATGTAAACTAGGACGAAAACTCTTTTACGACGAATTCCACCTAAACACAACCTTGCGTAAATTATGTAGTTTTATAAAATTTGGGTGCCGCTGATCGTAGGACCCTTCGAAAAAAAAATGGAAAATTTTTTTTTAAAGTTGAACAAACCTAAGTGAACCGAAAATTTTGTACGTCTAGATTAAAAACAACTAGGGCCCAGCTAAAGCTGGATGTACCTGTTTGATATTGATTAAAATTGCTATGCTGATGCAGCACGAAAAATCTGATTTCAAAAATTGGACTTTGCCCAAAACCTTGCTTGTTTTTCTAATAAAATAAGTGAGAAGAGTTTTGAGATAAACAATTTTACCAAGATGATAACATCTCTCTTACAGAAAATAAAGCAGCCGCCTCTTCTGAGGAACCACTATCGCAACGGGTTCTTTCAGTTGAATTTTTCATCTCAGACTTGATAGTGTAAATTTCAAGAAAATTAAATAAGTTCGACAGTTTTAAAAACTGTCAAAGTTTCTATAAACGGTCAAAAGGATTTCCAAAATCCACGACTTTTTCTGCAAAAGTCAGGTTGCGGTCGCTTAAGCAGAGAAGATTCCCAAAACCGGGGTTTTCGATTGAAAACAATCTGAGAATTGGCACGGTAGTTTTCACCTGAAGTATAAAAATTTCCAAAAAACTGTCAAAGTTTCAAAACTTCGAAACTGTTTGAAGGTCATAACTTTTTTTCTCAAGCAAACTAGGCATTCTGAGTAATAATAATAGGCTTTCAACAACCTGCTGCTTCTATTAAACCTATGATATCACATTTGGCAGAATCGTTAGCGAGAAAAATCCAAAAAACGGTCAATTAATCAAAAATTTGACATTTCCGAGAATCATATGGCGTATTCGCTTATGCGGAAGGAATCCATTTAACTTGTACTTTCAATTCAACCTTAACTTTAAGATTTGAGAGGGAAGTTCTCGAGAAATGTCGAAAGCTTTCAGAAAACAAAAAATTGCAACAAAAGTTTTGTCAATAAAAATTGCAACAAAATTCCAAAATGTCCCAAAAAAAATTGCCCGCACCTCTGGAAACTCTACGAAGAACTTGATGTATGCTATAAAAAAACAAGTCCACAAAAAGTCCTTTCTGCAAAATGCAACAGACAAAAATAAGCAGACAGAAAATCTATATTAGCCAAAATCTCTATTCGCAAGAAAAACAGGTCTAACCTGGAATCGAATTCCCGGGCTTTGTGGGCCTCAAGCATGGAGACTACAGCAAATTGGCATAAATCTAAACCATTGAGCTAAGGGAACTAAGCCGACAAATATAAACAGACTGACGATAGTCCGAAAAAGCAAAAAAAGCCCGGTCGGATTCGAACCGCTAATCTTTACCAAGCGGTAACAAAGCCGAAAAAACCTGAGCAGAAACCCTTCATGTCGAAAATAAATTTTTCAAAAAATTTCCCCTCAGAGCACACACACGCTCAGAAAAACTTTTTCCTGGCGTAACGACGAAATAAGAGGCCACTAGGTCGCTATTAATTACAGCGACCTTTATTGAGCCGATAAAAAATGAAAAAAAGAGCAATTTTAACAAATCGAGCTGGTAAAATTACAACCAATGTGTAAAGCAAAGTTCAAAACGGCCGGATTTTTAAAATCCTGAAAATGACAGCAGTGAACATTGTTTACAGCTAAAATAAATTATTGTTAGATCAGGCAACTAAGCCGAAAAAAAACAAGCATACAAATAAAAGGCCGAATTTTTTTGCAACCAGAACCATTACCGTTTGAAAAAACTGGTCCTTGTCAGATTCAAACCCAGGACCTTTGCCGTCCTAGGCGTAGGCGTTACTACCAGGCTAAGTGTGCAAGAGACA